CTCCTTCGTAGGTAAATTCGGTGATCCGGTCGCAACGTTGCATTATGTTTGGCGATCAGAGGTGGTTTGACCATTTAAGTGATGTGTTGCGAGCACCGACTATGATACCCCATAATCAAAATTGGAAGAATGGTCTATTTTATATTTTTAATTAATCAATCAAAGATTCTAAATAATAAATCTTTATATCCACTGAAAGTAGCTAATAATTACATACATCAAATTTGTACACTATACATTTACTTCAAAAAATCATATATTTCAATTTAACTGGTGAAAATTCAATATTTTATGGCACAAATGCTCATATTGACGAGATCTATCACATACAAAAAATTCTGCATTGAAAGTTTTACCAATAGAAAATTATCCTCATTTTTTCGTAATGAAAATACATATTTGATCAGAAAAATACAAAAAATACAAAATTATTGAAATAAAAAATAGAGTCATTATTTCTTACAGCGAGACAAGCAATTTTTCCAACCGGGTCCACGGATGAAAATCGCTATACGACCTCCGAATCTAACTTTCGTTTTTCTGTCTCAAAATTCTCTCCAATTTCCCTAAATCATTCTCTGTTAGCTGATTGCATGCATTAAACATCTTTTTAATGGATTTAGTAGTGACTTGGGATATTTTATAATAAAATAATAAGATAATAATTAATATTATTATATAATTTAATCAATTTTTAGTATAAAATTTATAGAAATTATTTTGGGACTTCAAAAATTATAGAAAATATTCTTAAAATAAATCATTTTATTTAAAAAATATTGGTGAAATCAATTTGTAAAATGAACACCTCAAGGTCCCAAAATCCTCACTTGCATCGGCAAATGTCAATTTCTTAAGGATTTGCACTAGTGCCCGAAAATTATGAAAAATTTCATGTAATTAAAATACTACAATATAAATGTTATGCCGAAGACAGTTTGCCATTTCGAGTTACAATGGCTTTAGGAAAAAAAAATTGGCAAAGTCAAATTACTTGATATTACAATCATCATTTGAGTCACAAAATTCGCCTCTTTTGCTCGTGCTGATTTGGCGGATGTGTAGAGGCCAACAATTACTTGTTAATAAATTCTAAATATAAAGTTGATATGAATTTTTTTATTCATCGTGCATTAGCATCGTCATTATGTTGCTATCATATGAGCTAGTTAATGTTGTGATATTGCCTCGATTCATGCGCAAAATTAAGATTTTTTGTCAATCGATAACTTTGACAAATATGGGGGTCGATCATAGTTATTTCAGTTGTTCTGAACACCCTGGCACTGTCCATTTCGTGAACGGCGGCCATGTCAGAGATTTGAATTTTTGGTCGTCACGTGTCGGGTAGGTTTTCCGTGACGGGTAAGTTTTGCGCGACATCGCGCTCTTTCACTTTCGAAACTCATCTCACGTGGTCGACTCGACCCTGACATTACTATTTAGTTTCTTGAACATATAGAATTTTTTTCTTTCTATGAATCATAACTTCTATTAATTATATTAATTTGCCTCTAAGAGTACCTATATTCCAATTTACTATTCAAATTCTAATTTTATGGACTAGTTATTTTCGCACATCTATATATGATGTGGGAACCCTTGTTTATTTAATATTACACCTGGCGCCTCTACAATGGCCCTTGCACACATTTTGTTATGTTCAAGTCATACAGCATATCACTTCTAAGAAACGGCCTAGTATTAACAAAATATATTAAAGGGCTCATCTTATGATTGTTCTACAAGTTTTATACTGGCTCTCTGCTACCTAATACAACTTGTCACTTTTCTTGCCATGGCTTGGAACCGGCAACAACAATATTAAAATAAACATGAAAAACGACATAAATAATAAGTGGATGATTATTTCAAAGTTGGTGTCTTGTATTTGCGTTAAATTGTTTGCTAGAATTTGTGCAGAATCCTTTAATACTAACTAATCTATAAGGTAGCTTAAATTGTAATATATTATCTTCTTTTTGGAATGCATTAATAATATATGAACTTAGAAGAATTTATTTGCTCTCTCGCTATTGCATTAAGATATTTATGTTGAATATGCAAAATAGTGTATCCGAAATGGAATCTAAGAATCCATATCCAAAAGGTATTAGACAGCGAATCATATGATTTTGTGCTTCATGATCTAAGCTATAACTTAAAAGTGTTATATGAACGTTGTAGCCCTGAAACACTTGATGATATAACCTGAAAGTATTATCGGAATTTATTTTATTTATTTGACAATTATAAGATAGTGAGAAATGATACCTTTGGTTCATATGTGCTACAGTTGTTCATATTAATAGATTGGGATACGAGTGCTGCGTAGCTTGTAACTTTTTGTTTTAAATATGTATATGGCGTTCATTAACACAGTAAGCTACGTAGAAAACTTGAAATATATTCACATGTTCATGGTTGAACCATTTTGTTCTTCTTATTGCATGATTATTTCCTTGCAAGTACGAATAGTTCTGCCATGGTTGTCAATTTGGGACTGTGGAAACTGCTTCGTGTTGTCTTACCTTGCTTCTATGACAAGTTCATGTTCTTTGAAAGTTTCCTTTCTTTCGTCATAATAATGCTTGATCTTATTGAAACTGCTTCCTTGCCATGCACTTCTGTGAGTTTCATATACTAGATGAGTTATTTGAACAAATGCTTAATCTCAACAATTAAAATGGGTACAGTTCTTTCCTGGACTTTCATATCTGAGATATAAATATCGGCATTTAGTGTTTTTAGACAATCTGCGCTCTGCAAGAAATTTGAAACCATACATCTTACCATGAACGATTTAGGGCCAATTCATCTGGGTTATAATTTCATGGACTCTATTAGTTCATATTATATTAATTCTCCCCCATTTTTTATGTTTTGAAACCATGTCATGGGACTTTGAAATAATGGATGTTTTTTAAAGGATAACTTGTATCTACATATTGAATTTTTAACTTTTCTCACTTTCGTTAAATTATGGCCACCGAACACCACGGTCGTTGTTATTATGGGATGCTAATCTAGCGATTTGTGTGAATGGAAACTGAGAGATGGTTTTGAACAATGTTTTGCTTGTAATTCAGCTTCAGGAGAACCTGCTACCAACAATATTCCTAAAGATGGATCGGAATGGGTGGATCTCTTAGTAAGAGAAATTATGAATTCATCTGGCATAGAGGATGCAAGGGCTCGTGCCTTTAGAGCTCTAGATGTCCTGGAAAAATCTATTGTTGCGCGGGCTAATGTTGAAGCAACAAAGAACTTCCACAATGTATTTTGTATTTTCTTTATTTCTTCAAATTTAAAATTAATCTTTTTCTTGTTGATTGTAATTGAAAATTCCATTTGATTTGAGACAGGAAAGCATGATTCTCAAAGAACAGGTTAAATTGCTGTTTGGAGAAAATGCTATTCTTAAAAAAGCAGTTACCATCCAGCATCAACGTCAGAAAGACTTCGAAGAGAAGAATCAGGAGCTGGAAAGTCTAAAACAGCTCCTTTCTCGGTACCAAGAACAGCTACGTAAGCTTGAGGTGTGTAAATTTTTCTGGTGTGATAATCTTTTACATCATGAGTCTTAACGTATAGTGCTGTCAAAAAAGCTCTTGGTTCTTGGACTTCTCGCATTGAGCTCATTAAAGAAACCAGTATTAGGTTTGTTCATTTCGGGAGCTGATATTAAATTATTATTTAAGCAGCTCATCTTGATATGTTGGTTGGTAGCTTTAGTTATCAATGAAGAAATCTTAGATTCGAGTCTTACGTATGTATTATGTGTGTGAGTTTACCTAATTGACCTAAATATTCCCAAAAATATATAGTTATTTTGGGCTGCTTTTGTTAACAAGTCGAACACAAACAAAGTCTTGATTTATTGCATTTGGATTGTTATTAGCGTATGTTTTAATTTTATAATTTGTTATTTATTAAGTGGTTAGTAGATGTGTATAATGATTACATCGTGTTCAATTTGTTGTTTATTTATTTATTTTAATTTGTTCAAAATTGAATCATGTTTGACTCGTCGTAGAGCCGAGCACAAACATGATATTTACGAACAATGTAAAAAACAAGTCAATCTCAAATCAACAAAAAATTCTAATGGTTCGAACACGAACACCCTTGATATTGGCTCAAGCTAGGCTCTTTTACACCCATACTAACATATACCTTTTTTCCATGGCAGGTTAACAACTATGCACTGGCGATGCATCTCAAGCAAGCCCAACAAGGCAGCTCCATGCCCGACCGATTTCATCCTGACATCTTTTGAGGTTCTGGATGAGTTGATTTCTCATACCTGGAAATGAAAAGAGGAGAACTTCCATGCGTGAAATTTTAGTTAGAGAGCTGACACTGTGAAACAAATTGATTGAATTCTTTCTTGTTCTCTAATTTGTTGAATTTCTTATTCCTGTTCTTTTGGCTATTATGAGACAGTTTTGTCGTGCATTGCCAGCTTATAGTTTTAAGGTATTGTTTGATGATGATATACTGCTGGCATGAAAGTCATTAGACTCACATAAATGGTAGGAGATGCACGTATAACATAATGCATCAGGCTGCTTATTTTCCTCATTTTGAATTTTTAGCTCATTTCAGTGCAAAATAAATTATATTTGAGATTTGAAAAATATATATTTTTGTTTTATTTAATATTAATTAAGCTGATTTATATTGTGGTGGTTGTAGTAGCCGGAGAACATTAGCAGTGGTTGGCAAGGTAATGATGGTGATGATTGTGATGTTGGGGTGGTGATGGTTGGATGGTAATTTTTAAAATATTTGAGAACATCTTAATTATTTTAAATATTTTAAAAATAATTTATTTGTTAAAAAAAGTTAAAAAATAAACAGTCATTGCTAGGTCCCATGTCTTGGATGAGAAAAGTGGAGGGTTGCGTTAGGTAGTTGACAGTTAGTGTAAAATTTGTCGAATAATCATGACATGAATCCTTTAATACATTATGTTAATGCTAGGACGTTCCTTGGAAGCGACGTGTTGTATGGCCTAAATAAAATGATACGTGTGCAAGAGTTGCTCCATCGGTGCTCGGATGCAGTGTTAAATAGGCAAGAGTTTCCACATCATGGACTGATGTGGGTAAAGAATTTAGTCCATGAAATTAAAATTAGGTTGGAATCGCTGAACATAGGTTCCATTACATGTAAATTAATGGAATTAATTGATATTATGATTTATAGGAAGATAAATATTTTATGCATTTAGGAAATTAAATTGATTGGAGAGAAGGTTAAGGAGATTGATAGTTTATGATTTAAACTTAGGTATTCTGGAAGGAGTTGTACTAAAAATGGTGTAGGTGTGATTATAGATAAGAGTTTGAAAGATAATTTATAAAAATTGATAGAATTGAAGTTAGAATTATAGTTTTGAAGATTATTATTGATGATAGAATTATTAATATTATAAGTACTTATGCTCTTGAAGTAGATTTTGATATGTGCTTTAAGTTAAAATTTTAGAATGGCTTATAAGAATTAATACAAAAAATTGCTCTTGAAGGAAGTTTTTATCGTAGGAGAATTAAATGGACATGTTGGTAGAGAAGTAGATTATTTTAAAAATATTTCTGGTGGTTATGAGTTTAGAGTGACTAATGAAAGTGGTAAGACTAAATTAAATTTTGCTATAGCTTACAATTTTATTATTACTAATACTTTATTTAAGAAAATATATGAGTATCTTTTTACTTATAAGAATGGATATAGTAAAACTCAGATTGATTATATTTTGGTAAGAAAAATAAATCGTTTAGATTGCAAAGATTATAAAGGTATTCTGACTGAAAATTTATGTACCAAACACTGTTTTTTAGTTTTGGACACTAAGATGAAGGGGCATAGTATGCAAAAGATAGTATATCATTGTTCTAGGATTAGATTGTGGCATTTAAAACTCTAACAAAAATATTTTTGAGAGTAAGATTCACAATATTAAGATTTTGTCGGTGTATGAGGAAGATAATGTTATGTGGGAATTAGTAGTTTGTAATTTTAAGAATGTTGTAAAGGATATGTATGTAATAACAACAGGAAAAACTTATAATAGTAAAAACAGTTGGTGTTGGAATCAAAATGTGCAAGAAAATATCAAAAAAAGAAGCTCTATTATAATAATTGTTTAGATGTAAAAATTCTGAAAATTAGAAAAGATATAAAGTTGAACATAAGGAGTTTAAGAAAGCATTCTGCGATGAAAAGACTTCAACTTTTAATGATTTATATAATAGATTAGATAGTAAAAAAGGATGAAATATTTATGTATAAATTAGCCATACAAAAAGATAGGAGCAGTAAGGATTTAATTCAAGTAAAGTGCATTAAGGATAAATATCAACAAGTATTTTTTAGAAGAGGATATTCAACAAAGGTTAATGAGATATTTTGCTAAACTTTTCAATGAAGATTGTGAAAATATGATTTACTTTAGTGGCCTTAACACTCTAAATGAAAATAGAGACTTTTAATTTTACCAGTGTATTACTAAAATTGAAGTTAGTGAGGCTTTAAAGAAAATGAAGTGTGGGAAAACTGTTGGACTTAATGATATTCCAATAGAGGCGTGGAAATGCTTAGGAAATGAATGAATTTCTTGGCTTACTAAACTTTTTAATATTATTTTGAAGACTAAAAAGATGCTAGATGTGGGGAGAATAAGATGCTAGATCTTTAAGAATAAAGGCGATGCACAAGATTGTGCAAATTATAGATGAATTAAGTTGATGTCTCATAGTTTAAAACTATGGGAGAGATTTATGGAGCATAGGTTACAATGTGATATTAATATTTCTCAAAATTAAATTGGATTCATGCCAGGTAGGTCTACTATGGAAGCCATACATTTATTCGGAGGTTTGATGGAGAAGTATAAAGAGAAAAAGAAAGATATTCATATGATAATTATTGATCTAGAGAAAGCATAAGATAAAGTTCCAAGAGAAGTGTTATCGAGAGTTCTAAAAAAGAAAGGATTAATAATGTTTATATTCAAGTCATTAGGGATATATATGCTGGAGCTGTTACTTGTGTTCAAATACAAGGTGGTTGACCAAGTATTTTCTAATTTTAGTTGGATTACATCAAGGATCAGCCTTAAGCCCATATCTTTTTTGCTTTAGTCATGGATGTTCTTACTAGAGATTTACAAGAGGATGTTCCTTGGTTTATGCTTTTTGCTGATGATATTCTTCTTATTGATAAGACTAAAGAGGGAGTTGAAGGTAAACTTGAATTATGGAGGCCAACCTTAGAGTCTAAAGGTTTTCGTTTGAGTAGATCTAAAACTGAATATATGGAGTGCAATTTTAGTAGTAATAGTTATAGTGGGGGGTTTGAAACTTTGGGCAATCAAGTCATTAATAAGAGTATAAGTTTTAGATATCTTGGTATGTTATTTAGAGTGATGGTGAAATAGATGGAGATATTATTAGTAGAATTCAAGTTGGATGGGCGAAGTGAAGCAATGCATTGGGCTTGTTGTGTGATTGAAAAGTACCACTCAAACTTAAGGGAAAATTCTAGAAGATGATGGTTGGACCTGCAATATCTTACGGCGTAGAATGTTGGCCATTAGAAGAGAAACATAATATTAAGTTGAAGTGTTGCAGAGATGAGGATGCTCAGGTGGATGAGTGGTTTTACTCTTAGATACAGGATAAAAATGAGCATATACGTGAAAAGGTTGAAATAGCTCCAGTGGTAGATAAGATTAGAGAGAGTCACCTTAGATGGTTTGGTCACTTAAAATGAAGGCTTTCTGATGACCCAGTTAGGAGAGTAGATGTTTTAGATTTAACCTATGTTAAGAAAGGTAAAGGTAGACCTAAAAATACTTGGTTAGAAAATATTAGAAATGACCTTTCTTTATTAGATCTAAATGAAAATTTGACTTTTAATAGGAGATAATGGAGAAAAATAATTCATGTAGTCGACCCCACATAGTGGGATAAATGCTTGATGTTGATGTTGTTTAAAAAAAAAAACATGAAATAAATTAATATATTTTAAAAAAGCAATTAAAATAAAAAGATCCCAAATATGTCCTAAACTTTTGAGAGTTAAAGAAAAAAAATTCAAAAAGAAGAATTATGATTATAGAGGCAAAAAAGTACTTTCTTGCTTGAATTTCCTATTTTTTCATCCCTTGCTTTTCTGAATTTGGCTAAAAGGCTGAAAGCAATATGCATGAGGGTTATGAGTTTATGATTTAGAGTGAAAATATGATCTCCGAACACATTGAAAGCTTGGAAATTAAGCAGCTTGTTAACCTCCACCTTAATGTTAAGCCTCAAAAACCCCTGCTTAATGCTAAAGCTAAGGACCTCTATGATGGTTCCTACTCTTCTTGAACATCTTTGATCATTCAACATGCAACAGTTAAATGTCTTACCAATGGGGAAAATAACCTTCACTTTCATTGTGCTTTATAGAAGGAAAAATTTAAACTACATTAAATAGATCTCCACCCCCATTGGCACATTCTCTTCACCTTTTGAAATTATACAGATTTCTATTTCCTATTTTAAAGAGTTATTAATACTCAAACTTTATTATGAATATGGCTTTCTCATATTTCCCTAGAAAGACCATCCCTCCTCACCTCATTGCAAAATCTTGTTGATCTAATCTTTGATGAAGAAATCAAAATATTGACGTGGTAGATTTTTAGAAGCCATATTGAGTTTAAAATAAGACACCACCAAGAGATTTCGCCCTCATTTTGCAAGGACTTTATGGTATGAGTTCTGGTTTCCTATAAGCACAAGCTCCTATAATTAATTACTCCTCTCGATCACGAGAGAGAACTTTTTATTAAGGTTATTCATTAATTGAATTCATAGTATCCATGGATACATGATATCCGGCATATAGTAGCATCATTGGTTAATATTTAAAATTTGAAACTTTTACCATATTGCACTTAAAGAGGATGGTGGGGGAATAGATGGTGTTCCCCATCAAGATCCCATTGTTCTATTATCCTGGGCCATCATGGTCCATGGTATACTTAGTAAGAGGAGGTAGTCGACCCAACCTGATAGAAAGATCCTTATCAACAATTATGGGTTGCTTTGTCCAAGGGTACCTTGTAGACTTAGGATGAGTATTTATCTAAGGAGATAAATTTAAATCTACCTTAGCTAACAAAGGGATTTGTGCTCTATCGATTATATCCTATTGATTCATATCTCAAGAAATTAGTACTATTGGGGAGTATATGTGCTCTGGACATGATTGTAATTTAATGGTGCCATTTGGTGGCAAACCACTCAGTTCAAAGGGCCTCGATCACAACCGTTTACCTACGATGTCATTTGGTGGTAGGACCACATGCTATAGGACACATGTCACATCCTTACTGATAAGATATTATTTGAGAATGAATTATAATGATATTTTCGACAAGATATTAACTCTTTGTGAGCTGAAGTGATATTTG